TCACATTTCTAACCCCATGGAGGATGGTCATCAGGCAGGATAGGCCAGAAGAGATCCTTCAGGATGACTTCTTGGGGCAAAATGCAAGTTCAGATGAACCCAGAGGGAGATCTGATGGAAGCCACATGACATTAGGTGAAAGTCCCACTAGGGAGGTCATAGCACACCAAGACAGCCATGGCTCCCAGAGCATTCTGCAAAACAGTCATGGAGGAGGGGGAATGGGCATTTCTGGACAAGGTCTAATGAATTTTGTTTACTAGGAAGAAGTATCAGCTAATTGAAATCCCACTATATCATCTCATGAAGCAGACAGTGACTCAGGATAATAGCTGTTAGTCTATTTTATATATGTGTTTTGGAGGGACTGGTAGGAGAGAAGGGAAAGACAGATTTTTCCTCACCATTCTTTGTTCTGTTTTATCTCCCTTTCTGCTTAATCAGAGTTTCCCCTCCCCACAGCATTTTGCTTTGCTACCATTGGTAGGTCACAGGTAGTCCATTTTTCACAGCCAGTACCAGATGAAAATGTCCTACAGTTGCTTAGAACTGGGGATCTTTATCAAGGATACAACCCAATTTGTTACATCACTGATTTGATCTTCCTTTCTTCTGGCATCATCCAACTGTTCAAGAACTGCCTGTCCTTCATATAACTTGGACTTCTTCCAATACTTACTAACATATTGAGCTGAAGAAAAGAAGCATAGCAGGCAGCAAATGGTGAGATAGCATTCACCTCCTTCATCACTCTCACCTACAGATCAAAAGTTTCCTCACTCATGTTCTCCTTATTAATTACAGGCAAGGGTGAGCCAAATGTTAAATTAGTTACCACACAGATGTGTGGAGGAAGGGTTGTACGTAGCTACCATCGCTCAGACATTCAGTTTAAAAAAGCAGATGCTCTGCATAGTTTCAGCTCCCACAGAGGTGCCAACTCAGCAGGGTGTGTTGTAACACCATTTTGATGCAGCTAACAGAAAGGCAAAAGTAGTCAAGTCGACCAAAAGGCCAATACTTCCATATTCTACAAAAGTTAACCTGTAACAGAGGCTTGGACCTTTGACTTTTGTAGCTGATTTGCCCCAAACTTGATAATCTTCTTTTCAGCAAAAATATAAAAATATAACACTTGCGAATAAAGGTCCTCAGCATTATAGCAGGATCAGTGCCAAAATTATAAATGCATTTATTCTCAAAAGTGCACATGCCCTTTCTCTATGGTTTTAGTTTGCTGGCTTGTTTTGCTTGTCTATTTAGAAGGAGCTCCAAAGGCTCTGGAGAAGTTTTACATTACTTCTGGTGCAAGTTTAAAAATTTGGTCTTGACTTATGCAAAAGCATAAGCACCCCAAAAAAGATCATACACAGAGCAATTTCAGTAATGAATATCTTCCATGTACAGTTCTTGTAAAATAATTTCATTTACTCTTCTTATAAATGTGAAGCAATGCCTCCTGTGCAGAGCAACAATTCCAGCGCTTCTATACCTTGTCACCTCTATGATAAAATTAGTAATTAGGAATAAAAACAACTCATTTGGTCAGTCTGAATCAGTTTTTATTGAAGATGAATTGTGGTAGCTTTCAACCTGGCAAAGACTTGTGCAGCTTTAGCTACACCATCAGAGAAATTCAAGGACTGGCAGTGGAAACACAGGGAATTCCACTAACAAAATGAACATGAAGATTTCAGTTTGCTGATTCTCCCCCTTCACTCTGCTCTTGTGAGACCCCACCTCGAATACTGCATCCAGTTCTGGTGTCCCTACTGTAAGAGGGACGTGGATCTGTTGGAGCGTGTTCAGAGGAGGGCCACAAGGATGATCCAGGGGCTGGAGCACCTCTGCTGTGAGGACAGGCTGTGGGAGCTGGGATTGTTCAGTCTGGAAAAGAGAAGACTCTGTGGGGACCTAATAGCTGCCTTCCAATACCTGAAGGGAACCTACAGGAAGGCTGGAGTTTACAAGAGTGTCCACCAATAGGACAAGGGGAAACGAATTTAAGTTAAAGGAGAATAGATTTAGACTGGATCTTAGGAGAAAAATCTTCAGTACAAGGGTTGCAAGACTCTGGAATAACTTGCCCAGAGAAGTTGCCCCCTCCAGAGATGACCCCTCCTTTGAGGTGTTCAAGACCAGGTTGGATGAGACCTTGAGTAGCCTGATCTAGTTGAGAGGTGTCCCTGCCCATGGCAGGGAGTTTGGATTAGATGATCTCTAAGGTCCCTTCCAACCTAGGCCATTCCGTGATTCTGTCATTCTATGATTCATTGATTGCTGGCCAGAGTCTGCATGGACTGACAAGTCAGACAGTTAAATAGATTTTCCCCTCTCAAAAGGGGCACATTATTTTCATTTCTCTTCTCTCCTGAGCTGACAGTTTTCTGAAAGTTATAGAAAATTATTTATCCTTGAAGCCTTTACTTCCCCATCAAATGTGGTTGTCTTTGTAAGATGCAGTTATATTCACTACATATAAATGTGGATAGAGCCAAAATTACCATTTTCTCCAACACCAGTCACACATCACACACAGCCTGGGTCTCTCCTACCCCCAGAATTTTTTGGAAGCTATCTCCTTGCAAACGTCAGAGCTGCAGACATCAGAAGGGACTCACAAATACCACATTCTACAGGTTCAGTCTGCTTCGGTCTTACAGAAGCGGGGAATACAACACGATGAGATACCTGTGACATCAGTTGAACACGAATGAGCCAGATGTCGTGAAACACTGCAAAGAGTTTTTCTACAAAAATATACATTTTTCTCTTGTCCTTCTAATGCAATTATTTTCCCAAGACACAGGAAAAAAAAGGATTACCACAAGACTGGAGACCTGTCAGAGAGGTTCAGAACTAAATTCCCAAGTATTGGTAAAAAAAAATACAATACAGTGAACAGCAAATAGGCAGCTCCTCTCTACTCTTCCACCCACAAGGAAATGCTGACACCCAGCCAAAAGGTCATTTTAGCACACCATATTTCAATAGTATTTCTCACAGATAATGTAATCTTTAAAGCACTAAAAAGTGCAAAACTTGATGCATACAATAAAAATCACACAGGGACCTCTTCTTCTCCAAGAAAGGCAGCTCAGTATAATTTTGTCATAATAAGCAGTAAAGAAAATATTTTACTTTCAAATCCTTCCTCATCAAGTACCCACAAAACAAACATAATGGAAGGGAACAAATATCAAATGATGTTCCATCAGTGTGTTGACTGTACTTTTAACAAATATATGCACAAAGATAAAAATGCGTTATAGAAGCACATTCGGATTTTATCAGAACAATCTCTAAAACGCTACTTAATCCCAGTCTCCACATTACAGTTTAGCACTGTCCTGTAATCCTACAGAACAGTGTCCACTTTATACTTGGACTATTCATATATACAAAGAAGATTTTATTATGAAACATAGGTTTAAAAAACAAAACATGATTTTTTTTTCCAGTGTCCTACAGAGATAGTTGAATTACTTATATTTAAAGAAGAGCCATGGGGTTTTTTTTGTTTTTTTAACTATATGTCTAGAACTTGCAGCTGGTAGTCTACAAAGAGAGAGAGACGTTGTCAACATATGATAGGACACATCCCCCAAAATACTTTGGAGCTAAAACAGGTAGCACAGGAAATTTTTGTGGAAACCTGATGACAGTTTTGTTGTTACAACACTGACTAGAATTTCAGCTACTAATGATGGAAGGATAAGAAAGAGAACACTGATGTGGATTTTTCAAGTTAATGGCAATAACATCTTGCAGCTGAAATTGCGCCGTGGACTGAGCTGGTATTCTCTTCTTGTCCTAGAGTGCTAAACCAAAGCAAACAAACAAAAAGATTTCTCATTTACATGGTGAGAGGACCATCTGCTGCCCAAGTAATAACCCAAAATAAAACAGTCCTTCAGGCGCTGTGCTGGCTGGAGCAGTGCGTGTGATATAATTCACCCACTGCGAGGGAGAGGCTGCCTTACGTAAGGGCCTGCTGCTTTTTTTCTTTTTTCTTGCTGGCTATGCAGCTATTCAGTGCTCTCAAAGGCTGGTTTATTTTTCAGACTCTCTTTAACCAAAGACAATCTTGCAAGAAAAGTACAAGTCTTTAAGGCTAACGTTACAATCCAAGCAGAAGAGCTAGTCACACAAAGAGATTTTTGAAGCTTTAACTCATTTTAAAAGACACTTACATTCATTTCTGCAGTTTTTCTGCTATAAGCAAATGAAGAAACTCATTCTGCATTCCAATGAACACCTCAAATCCCCTTGACAGCCAATGAACATCTGGAGTCCAAATGAATACAGAATTAATCCCTAAGGCTGGACAGCAAAACAGGTCAGGAACCATCCCTACTACAAAAGTCACTGCGGAAATCTTGCAGCAGGTCAGCTGAAACCAGGCTGCACCTCACTACAGGCTTTGTAACACACATTTTATGTGCAGACCAATTTCCCTTAACCAGTCCTTGCCCACAGCATAGCATTAGTATAGCTGTAAGTGCAATGACCTAAACTATCCCGATAAAACCTACAACAGGTAGGTCCACCTATATTCAGTAGCAGAGCATTCCTAGGACATTCTTTTAACCAGATTCTTAGCACCCTTCACTCTCCTGAAAGTCTTCAGAGGAGCTGATGGTACTCAGCTCCCAGAGCTTTTAAGCCTTTCCTTTTCCTTCCATTGGGTAATAAAATAAAAAGTAAAGGGAAAAAGAAAAAACAAAAAAAAAGGAAAAAGGAAAGAAACAGTGAAAGGCAACACCCCACACCAAAGGGGGGGGGGGGGGGGGAAGAGAAAAAAAGGAAAGTTGTACAAGGTGCCAATCTGGAATGAAATGGATTTTTGAACAGACAGTCATATTTGGCACTGTCAGCAAAAGCTTTTGAGTGGCCCTGTGTCTCTCCGAGCCTTAATGCCCTTTTAACATCGGTCATTTAAAAAGTCCACCGGAAAGTCCAGCTGGGCTGCTTCTGGCATTATTTTCACAATGCTGCTGAATGGACTCAATGGAGAGATTCGGTCCCCACACCTCAGTTCCATAAAGCACTATACATTAAGGACGTATTCCATTTGGCCTTCAAGTGGCATTTTATAGTCTATGCAGATCCACGATTATTTTCCCTTTAAAAAGAATCAACAGAAAACTGAACTCTCTGTTGGAGAGCATGGAAATTAAAAACTATTGGACCTGCCAACTCCTGTGATCTTCAGGCAGAAGACTGGATTAATGGGTCCTCACATGGTTCTAGCTGCATTCTCAGTACACCGCTTTTATGAAGAAACCAGAGCTGTAGAAATTCCTCCGGCATGGCATGGAATCCAGAATCAGGCAAGACATTGTCATAGTAATGATGGCTAATAAACTTCCCGTGCAGGTCCACCGAGAATGGCCAGAAGCCATAAATTGTTACTTCTTCACAAAGACCAAGGGCAGCGCTGACCAGGAAAAGTCCCGTGGAAAGCCGTTTGGCATGGATACCTTTGCTCTTCCAGAATTTTCCAATGTCACGCAGGAAATTGGGGTTGGCAAAAAGGACCTCCTGCTTGGCACCAAAGTCCTCCAGGGTGTAATAGACACGTAAGGAGGGTCCCGTCCCTGTCTTCATTGAGAACGCTGGCATGTAGATGTAGCTGTGGTTATACACCTTCACGCTGTCCACAAATGCTTTTCGAGACCACAGGAGATTCTGGAACCTGTAAAACAACAGAAAAAAAAAGCGGGTCACATGTAGGCTTTCCTCATTATTTCAAAACCTGTCTAAAAGCTGCTTTTTGTACACATATTAATAACTACCTGCACAGCCCAGACAAACTTCTGACTGATTGACACTGCCTTTCTTCTAAAAACATAAACCTGAACAGACAGTTGAAAACTAACTTGTATTCTACTAACGCCAAAACCTAAAATGCGTCTGATTTCATCTTTTCAAAAAAAACCTGGAATGAACACTGACAGTTTTCATGAAAATCAATCATTTTTAGTGACATTTTTCTTTCTGTCCAAACACCAACTTACATTTTCAAGCACAGGAATCTTTAAAAGAAATTTTAAAGTCTTCATTGTTCTTGTTTCAGAAAGGCATAAAAAAAAAGAATCCAAGTTACATGCTGAACAAATAATAATACCAAGAGATATTTAAAGAGAAACTTTGGACTTATAAAACACGTAAGACTTTTAAGAATTGGTTTTGTTATCCTTGTATAGCAATTTAGGTTGTGCTACCACAGTATTTAGTTCTCATTCTGGAACTGAGAAAAATCTCCAAGAATATACTTTGCTAAAACACGTAAAACAGAAATCAATTAATCATTTAAGATAAGTGGCACCACAAAAATTTAGCAAGAGGCATCAAACAATATTCAGTGTTGGTGTTTAAGATGGCATGAGTTATATGCCGAGCAGGTTTAAAAGCAGCTGGTATTTGTAGCATGCAGGTTAAACGAGAGACTAGCTGGTAACTATAAGGAGTGAGAAGTGTATATACAGATTATTTCTCTAATATGATAGTCTTCTCTTGATAAAAAATCTACATTGGGTTACAATTTGTTAAATTGTCAAAAGCTATTTGCTGATGTCTATTTTAGCCCTTATGTTAGATTTTCATGCCAGTATTCTGTCAATAATCTTTCTTTGTCATGTGCTTCTGGATACGCCATGATGAATGAGACACCTGGCAGGAAATCCTAGGCCAGTCACACACACCAAAAACTGCACTGAGGTTTGACCTGTCCTGATGTCTGACACTATAAACAAATCACATCTCAGTAAAATACTGAAGTATCCCAAATACATATCATTGGGTGTAACTGGAGGTCAGTCAGACTCAGGGGTAAAACCTATTACTTGAACCACAGACTTGCAAAGTAACAGAAGCACTTTCTGTCCTGGGGTGCAGACTGCACTTTTGCATGAGGAAGTCCCTATGGTTTACACTTGATAATCTCCTTTCTTTCCAAAGGCCATGCAATCTTCAGAACACTAGTAAGCCTCGCTGCTTTTACCATGAGACAGCATTTATAGCTGTCAGCATGCAGGGAAAATTTACTACATTAAAAGCCACTTTTGCACAAGCCTCACATGCTTTCCTTTCACTGCAGCTGGGTTACTCTCCCACACGTGATCCCTAATTTTTTTCTCTGATTCCAAATGCCCGCCTTGCCCTTGTTGCTGTCTTCTCTCAGTTTCCTGCAGCTAAGACGAATGTGTCATGACTGATTTTGTACTTAGGCAGCAGAAGAGTCAGAACAAGAAAGTGGACACAGCAACACTGGATTTTTTTCCCTTTCTCGGGTGCAGGCAGAGAGATAGGTATAAGAATACCTTTTTTTAATGGTTATGAAGACATCAATTTTATGTATAGATGTCTGTGAAACAACAGCAAGAATCACACATATAGCAAGGTGCACAAGTTTAAGTAAGATGCCAGATGACCTCAAGAAGCACTAAATAAAACTGCAGATGAAACAATTGCCAACAAAACAGAGCTTCAACAGCATTGAAATGCCTCATAAACATGTGCCAGGCTTTCTGAAGTCTTCCTTTTGGCAGAAAACTTGATATATTCCTAAAAAGTTGAAAGGTTTTGTCGACATTTTCAACACGCAATATTTGGTGTCCTGATTAGCTACAAGTCTCTTTGAAAATTTCCTTCAAGTAAAATTAGAATAGAGCTGTTTTGAAGCAAACCCCCTGAAATCTGCCTGGGTCTTCATTACCATTTTGCTCTGCAGATCTGCTCCTACTGTGTGGTGCTATTTACAAACATAGACAAAGCCACTTTTCCAAGCAAGAAATGAATTCACCCTGAACATACAAAACAAAACAATAAAAACATTTGCATAACTTATTGCATTTGGAATTCTTTTTTATAGAAATAGCCAAGACAGAACTGAATATAGAAGGCCAGCCAAGCTCAAGGTGGCCTGGCAGAAATTCACTGTCTGGCTCTACCTTCTCATATGGGCCCTCTCACTCCATTACTATCAGACCGTTAATAAAGTGTTCCCCAAAACAAGCTATACCATCCTCTCCTCCTAAGGAGCAGCAAGACAACCTGTAACCTGTCAGATTATCAGGTTCAGGAGTTGGGTCCATCCTGCCAAACTTGTTCCATTTGCAACACATAGTCAAAAAATATTTAAAAAATAATAATCCCTAGCTTAATACTTTCAATATTCACCCAGGCGCTTGAAGCCTCAGTATCCAAACTCTAATTCTAAGAACGCTAACTGCTTTTAAAAGGTAGAATAAGACCAGCAGCAGGCTTTTGGACTATTGCTCTCCCTCTAATTTGAGACATCCACTGGAAGGTTCAACCTCCACAACAAAGGGAACTTGAGCACGCAGCTTGATGCAATGGGGACCTTGCATCTTCGCTGAGGGGAAGGCAGAGACAGGTCCTCTGCCACTCCTGGGAGCCAGTTTCACTTACAGCTGGCTAACAATTTCCACATCAGATGGCAAATAAATGTCATTATTCTAAAACTGCCTTTTTCAGCAGATTTACCATTCACTGAAATGCATTGCAGAGGTCTAAGATGAATACATTAAAATTGCACAGATACAGTCACAGAGGGCCAATGACTGTCTGAATATTCATTTGCTATCATCACCACAACTGATTTACATTTCTTATAGATGAATTTCCCCAAATGCCTTAAAATTAATGAGAAATGAGTGGCGCCACCACGAGAGCAGTGAATGGCAGGGATTTCATGCAGAAGGGTCAGCATTTGTCATGCAAATTGTCCTCCAGGAACATCATCACCTCCTGGAAACCCATGCCTCATTTGAATGATCTGGATCGCAGTGTCAGTAGGCATCACGCCCAGTTCAACAGATGGACATTATACAGGTGGCCAGGAGCCCATGCAGAAACATAAAACATGCCGATTACGGCTGGCCTGATAGCTTAACACAGCCAAAAAGCTGTTGCCCATCTTGTGCTCCTCATGAGGGGAGATATCAGCAGTAAATGAAATTTTCTGTTCCCCATTGGTAAAAATAGGAGCCCCGTCCAAGCTTTCAGACATTTCACAAGCTGGTTAGAGGCTGTAGAAATCTGGGGGACAAACGCGGTGCGTCAGCAAGTTTCTAGAAACGGTACTGGAAGCTCAAGCGTATTTTCCTTTAACTCCCAGCCCAGACAGGGAGTCCTGCAGGCAACCTCATTCCAGTGGTGGCTCTGAGGGTGCTCACACTGCATCTGTCCCAGCACACTGCGAGGAGGCTACTCCATGCCTGACAGACCAGGAGGGCTTGTCCTCTGCAGTTGAGCAGCTCTGTAGCGCACATGTGAGCATAACGATAAGGTGTTTCTTTCCTGCTTGTCCTGGCATGGACACTACCATCCCGGTGCACCCAGACGGCTACAAACACCTTCCCTCATGCCCATCCTCATCCAGTCTTCTCTGAATGATGGGCCTCTGGTTCCTAGTTAGTGCTTGCCTCTCCCTGACGTGCTTTGAACATTAAGTACTCTCAAGGGCACGGCCCAGAAACTGTTGAGCTCCTCCCCATTCACCAGGCTTCCAAAGAAACGCCATCAAATGATCCAGCCCCTCATGTAAGAGTGCATCTCAGGCGACATTATCTACCCAGCTCAGCTCTGAGCAAGAAACCACTGAACTGCTTTCAGGGTCGTCCTCTGACCTTCTGCAGTCAAGCTCACACAAACGTATGGCAGGTTGCCAGCACTTAGATAAAAGTGGACGCGGAATCTCTTGAGCCCCAAGCAGCACCTGAAGACTGTGGGAGTTGCTCGGTAATTTGCAGTAATGTGTCCCGGCAGCTCCAGAGAGGCGCCAATGCCTGTGAATGCTGGCAAAAGCAGATCACGGCATGTTCGACTCAGGCGCTTTACTTCTGCTACTCTCATTAATGGGCAGCAAGCAAACAAACTCATCAGCAACACATTTTTGCTGTCAGGTCGATATGACAGATCAACTTAAAAAGCGCAACTTTCCACAGGCACGTGTAGGCACAGCTGCGCAGATACCGGGGAAATCATTTCCCTGACACCAGCTGCAGAGTTCCCTCAAATGCTCTGCTCTACTTTTCCAAAGAGAAAGATGCAATCGAGAGAAAACTGCCACAGTGCATTGCATGACAGTGCAATCAAAGGCTTAAGAGCATTAAGTGTTCGGGGTTTTGTTTTCAGCCTGGTTTTAATGTTCTTATTGATGTTCTTTAGCAGATATTTAGGGACACGGCTGCTCTCTGATAGTAAGAGACACCTTGCAGTAACCACAAAGAATGTGCTGCAGTGACATTGAGCTAACCCACTTGCAGATAATAATGGCAGCATTTTCTTGCATCTTAGTTTCTTTTTGATCTCCCCAGAGAGTCACCATCTCATGCCTGTGATGATATCCCAGTCACTTAGTGTGTTGGCATCTGCAAAGTCACAAGTTCAGCATTCTGAATTAATCGCAAGTTGACTTATCGGGGAGGGAGTAAAACTGAGTAATGAAGGGAGCAGCTAAGATGCCAAAGAAATAGTGTATTATTTTTAAATGAAGACAAATAGAGCTCAAAGGAATAGAGCAGAAGGCATATAAAGACTTATGTATTTGTCCCTATGGCAAAGGATAACCTTACAAAAATTATTTTGATAATTTGATGTCCGCATTAGCCAAGAATGATTTAGCAATTTACTGCAGCTGTTAGAATATGCTTACAGCTGGGGTCAAAACAAGTCAGCTTGCAACCACACTTCTAAACCTCCACCACTGTGACAGAGGAATTTTACTGCACTCGTTTCTCAGAGTACATTTATGCTTTCAAATAGCGATGCCCTCTTTAATGCACTGTGCTCTCATTCGTATCAGGCACTTCTTATCTGCCCCTTCAAGGCTTGTGTAGCCATTTTACTAAGACATACTGTGTCTCAACTAACATCACGCTAATTTCCATGTGCTTATTCTCCATGCAGGCGCTTTCAGCATGCATTAGGTGCCAAGTGGACCACTCTACTTGTCCACACAGGAAGCCAGAAATGAGCACTTAAAGTACCGTAAATTGACCCCCTTTTTTCTTTTACCTCAGCTTCCCCAACTGCACAAGCCACTGTTTACTTGATTTAAGATTCGATTATAAGCCCATTAAAGTCAATGGCAAAACCAACTCTGATCTCACTGGAAGTATGTACAGAGCCTCAGGGAAAAAAAATAAGGCCCACAATAAACTCCAGAGTGGTTAGAAAAGGAATGAAGTAACATGATCAGTCATAAAGACTGATCATTAAACCAATACAATTACAGATGCCAATCATTTGCCATCAACACAGGAAGCCTTTATGCCCGTGGTAGCCCCCTAGTGCTCTGTCTGATCTCATTTCA